GGAGAGTCCATGTTGCTTTGGAGAGCCACCAGGCATTTTTGGAGGCCTCCTTCCCCGTTGTCCAAGCACTCGAGTTTCTTGCAAGGCAACCTGGGAGATAGCCAGTCTTCTAGGCCAATGCGGCGACTTCTTTTTCAACAGGGAAACGTGGCCTGGATGCTTCCTTGTTGTAGTATCTGTCCCCAGGGCATGGGAGGAAACCATTAGAGATGGATCCTTATCTCCTCCGCTTGAGAAATCATCTCTGCGTGGGATCCTTCCAGAGATCCCTCCTTACCTGTCCTTTCCTCACTCTCTTCTCGTCCTACCATTTCACCAAGCTTTCTTTTTTCTTTTCCCCAGACATGGAACTGAGGTTTTTCCAATGACATCGAATACATCTTAATGTAAATATTGCAGGGCACACACATACACACACACGCAGGAAAATCTATTGTGTTGAAATACCAAAAGTAAACAAGGGGAAAGACTATGGGTCTGGCAGGACTCCAGGAGACTGGGATTCAGTTTGAAGTCTGGCTTTTTCCACTTCAGAAATTAAACACATCTAAACTACAAATCCCAGCTCGGCTAAGTAAACCCACTGGGTGACTTTGGGCAAGTCACTTTCTCTCAGCCTCAGAAAAGGCAAGGACAAACCTCCTCTGTGGAAATCCTGCCTATAAAACCCCATGATAGGTTCACTTTAGGGTTGCCATAAGTCAGAAATAAATTACGAATTATGGATGAGGTAAACAGCCATGAGCCAGCGTGGTGTAGTCTGAAGATCAGGGTTCGAATCCTCGCTCAGCTATGGGAACTCACTGGGTGGCCTTGGAAAAGTCACTCACTCTCAGCCCCAAAAAACCATGTGATAGGTTCACAATAAGTATAGGTTCATCATAAGTTGGAAACAACTTAAAGGTGCACAATAACAACAGTATACATGAGAGAAAAAAAGTGTGCATTAAACTATGCACAAACCTCCATATAGGAAAGAGAGTCTGGCCACTCAGTCCAGAACTTGGATGGAACCATTAAAAAATGCAAATGAGATTATGACAAATACGAGGGAAGCAAAACAGACCTATTTTATAAGTCTGTTTTGCTTTGGAACATTCCCTTGCTGGTGGAACATGGTCTTGGTGTCTTTTATTGCTTCTTCCCCTCCCAGAATAGAAACCGCTTTCAGTTGTCAGCATTCAATAATATCCGTGTCTCTGCTCTCCACCTCCGCTTGAGTCGGGCATCAAAAAGGTGCCTTCGAAAGCCACCTCCTGGCACCTCTTCACACGCAGACATCCTAATCTGGGTGACCAGGTTGTTGCATTCTCAAATTCCACCTCCTCTCCTCCTCTTAGTTGCCTTCTTAGTCATTTGGGCAACAGGGAGGAGATGTTAGGCAACCTGGCACCTGAACTGGGAAACAAGATGACAAATGGACCCATGACGTCTTCATGATCTCTCTTGTTGCATTCTGCTGAATAGGGCCAATTCTCTGGAGATTTATCACTGGTGCCTTTCTTTTATGGCTGTTATGGGATAGAGAGCCAGGGTGGTATAGTGGTTTGGGTATTGGACTGGGACTTTGGAGAGTTCTGGGTTCAAATTTTTGCTCAGCCTCGGACGCCCACTGGGTACCTTGGGTATATCCCATTCTCTTAGCCTTAGAGAAAGACAATGGCAAACTTCTGAAGAAATCCAGCCATTTTTTTTGCCTCTTGTGTGACTCTCTCCCTCTGTTTTCCAGGACCTCGTGGACTGGCAGAAGCCTTTGCTGTGGCAAGTAGGATATTTGGGGGAGAAGTACGATGAATGGGTGCATCAGCCGGTGAGTCGCCCTATCCGCCTGTTCCACTCCGATTTCATCGAGTCCCTCTCCAAAACAGCCTGGTGAGATTTTGGGGTGGGTCAGTTGGGGATGTGGGGTGGGCAGAGAGCCACAGCAGTCATGGGTTGGTAGAGGCGGGCATGGCGAGCTGTGTGGGTTGGCTATGGGGACTGTGCTTCTTAGCTCTCCTAATAATAATAATAATAATAATAATAATAATAATAATAATACTCAGAGACATAGGCCTGTTAGTTTGGAATATTAGTATGCAAAGAGATCTTGTAGCACCTTTGAGTCTTAACTGTGCAAAAGATGTTGTAGCATAAGCTTTCGTAGACTTGGTCTACTTCCTCAGATGCACAGAGTGAACTAGTGCCTAGGAAGGAACAGGCTAGTCTCTGTGCCAGAGGACATAAATGGGATAATGGAAATATGCAAAAACCAGTTGCAGAACACTTCCATCTTCCTGGGCATTCCATCTCAGACCTCAGGACTGCAGTCCTTGAACAAAAAAGAAAACTACAAAAGAAAACTGGAAAATAAAACAGCTGAATGAGAATATATCCACAAACTCCAATCTATCCAAAGTAGGTTGAACAGAGACAATGGTTTCCTGGCACACTACACATATTATAACCCTGGTTAACAGGGACACTTCTTGGCCAATTTATTACATCTTCTTTCTGGTTCATTTCAAAATGCCCTCCACCATTCGGTTGGTCATCCACCCACCTTGGCCTTAGGCAACATCCTTCCTCCTGCCTTTGTCCCTCAACAGCCCTTGTTAAAACTGAACATCCTCTTGTGACATTGCAAGAGTTTCTTCCTGGTGTGCCCCTCTCAGATCATGCAAGATGGTGCCTGAAGCCTTGTGTTGGGATTAAGCAGAGGGGCATGAACTATGTAGTCAGGAAAGAAAGGCCTGCCAAGACTCGCATGCTGGCTGAGCACCATATTGCAAAGGCTCTGCTTCACCAAGCAAAGTATCAAAGAACCTAAACCACATTTTCCCCTCTTCTTCCTTTCTTTAAGGTACACGGTGTGTTTAGTTTGGATTCCAGTGGTGCTCTATCTCAGCTGGTATTGCTACACATCCCTCGCTCTGGGAGAGACGCGGCTGTTTGCTACCTTCACGACAGGTGACTGTGCTGAATGCTCCTCTTTCTTAAGAAAGATAAATAAATCGCAGACTGTGAAGGGTGTGTGTATGGAAGGGAGAATGGTTCCCATGTGGGTTTGCTGCATCAGCACAATGCATGGCTTTCACTGGCATGCGGAAGGCGCTGGTTAATCCATAATCCTACCTGGGAGCCATTTTGTGAATCTCACCTCTTTGTATCCGGGGTGAAATGGCGGAATGGTGTTGCTGCTGAGCCTTGAAGACAGAAGAGCATACACAGGTGTTTGCAGGATGGCCGCAATGCAGGAAAACTCCTAGTGCTTTGGGAACAGAAAGCAAGTGAAGGAGAGAGGCGAAAAGCCCATATCCTTTCCCCAATTTTCTCCCTTTTTCCTTCATTCCTTGTATGCTGTGCACCCACCTAGACCGGTTACATCTTGGGTTGCATTGCTAAAATCTCTGGGTTTTAGACAAGGGAGGATGTCCTGCAAAGATGCCTGGTCACTACAAAAAAATAGCCTGGAGTCTTCTGTTCATTGCCTTTTTGGGGGAATTTCTAGTATTACAGACCTGCATTTGAAGTTCCCCTACTTGCAAGAAACAGTAGAAACAGGCAAAGTGAGATTAAGGCAGCTGGGACTGTGGAGCAGTTGCCAAAATCAGGTACCGTTGGTGCTGGCATCTGAGCTATTCTGAGGGTACTGGCATCAAAATGAAAGAAGTTGAGAAATAATAGATTCAGGTGGTGCCACACTGTGGAATTAATGCAATTTGACACCGCTTTAGCTATGGAATCTTGGGATTTGTAGTTTGTTGGGGTACCAGGGAATGCGAAATAGCTCACAAAACTGCAAATCCCAGGATTCCATAGCCTTGAGCCTTGGCAGGTAAAGCAATGTCAATTCTGCAATGCAGATGTAGCCAAAATGGCTATAGTCAGCACAAGCACACCTACACACATAAAAATCTTCATGTGTGGATGCTGCTGTAATTTTAGGGAGAATTGCCAGATGAAGGTGTTTGGGGCTAAGCCACCCAGGTTTGCCAACCAATGGTTTAACCAGGGCTCCCTTGATCTGGGTTGCCCAGCTGATGGTTTAACCAGGGCTCCCTCAATCCAGGTTTGCCAGCCAGTGGTTAAATCAAGGCTCCCTCAATCCAGGTTTGCCAGCTGATGGTTTAACAAGGGCTCCCTCTATCCAGGTTTGCCATCCAGTGTTTAAACCAGGGCTCCCTTGCCCCAGATTGCCAATAGATAGTTTAGCCAGTAGATAGTTTAGCCAGGACTCCCTCGATCCAGGTTTGCCAGCCGATGGTTTAACAAGGGCTCCCTCCTTCAGTGCCAGAACTCAACTTTAGAATGTGGGGACTGGTCATGAGCAGGGTGCCTCTGAGCATGGGACGTGTGCCATCCTCTGCTGGTGATCTTTCAAAATAATCTGTGACTTTAAGAAGCAGGGTGATTTGGAGGCAGGGCAAGGACTGAGAGGCCTTTGCCCAGGACCAGAGAAAGCTGCCATTGTCTGAGCAGCCTCCGCCCGACCCGGCAAGGTCCTGCACAGAGGAGGGCTTGTGGATCTCTCTGCCTTGCTCTCTCCAGCACCTGCTCCCTGCTCTGTCCCTTGTTCTCTGCAGGAATGTTTTTCGGCGTTGTGGGTGGTGCCACGCCGTGCCAGCCCAGACTCTTCCCCCAGGGCTGGGAAGTCTTTCCATTCTCCTCTCAGCCCATGCCCAGACAGCAATGCTCTTGGGAAAGCATTGCCTTAAAAGCAAGACTCCCTGGCTTGGTTCGTTCGGAGAGTGGAGACCACTGACAGCGTGCAAGTGATATTCTCCACTCTCCAAGGGAGTGGATGAAGCCTGTGGCTTTTCCCAAGCTGTCCAACTCTTCTATGAGAACTTATGCCATGGTGTAGCGCCATGCAGTGGTTTGAGTGTTGGACTACAACGCTGGAGACCAGGGTTCGAATCCCTGCTCATCCGTGAAAACTCACTGGGTGATCCTGGGCACTGGGTGACCTCTGAACAAATCTTGCCAAGGAAATTCGTGATTAAGGTCACATTTAGAGAGACAGCCTGGTCTAGTGGTTTGAGTGTTGGATGATGACTCTGGAGACCAGGGTTCGAATCTCTGCTCAGCCATGAAAACTCATTGAGTGACCTTGGGCAAGTCACATGCTCTCAGCCTCAGAGGATGGTCAGGGCAACCCCCACCCCTCTGAATAAAAATTGCCAAGAAACCCCCATGATAGGTTTGATTTAGGGTCGCTATAAGTCAGAAACAACTTCAAGGCACACAACAACAACAACAACAACAACAGCATGGCTAGGGAAGGCAACTGTGGTGGATTTGGGGGGTCAATATTTTTGCCCCTTGAACCTTCTGAAAGCCACACCAACTGCCAAAAATTGCACCATCCCACCAACAAAAAACCAGGAGCAGCTCGAACTAGTGTGGCATAGTGGTTTGGGTGTTGGACTAGGACTTTGGAGACTATGGTTTCATGCCCAGCTTGGCCATGAAATCCACTGGATGGGCAAGTCACACTCTCTCAGCCTCTGGGGAAGGGCAGTGGCAAATCCCTCTGAAGAAACTTGCCAAGAAAACCCTATGATAGGCTCACCTTAGAGTTGCCATAACTAGGCAATGACTTGAAGGCTTCCACAGGGTTCTAGGGTGATCATGGGGATATATATATGTGTGTGTGTGTGTGTTTGAATGTGTTTTTCACAGGTTTTAGGGAACTTTTTGCATGGTATGAAAGCAAAAGTTGCCCTTAAACAACACCCAAAAAACTAAGGGGGGGGTTTGAGGAGCTTTGGGGGACATGTAGAGTAAGAGCTTTTGTAAGAGCTACAAAAGTGGGGTATGGTGGCTATGTGTGGATTACAATTTGCCACCTCTTGGTCTAGGAGAACCCCAGGGCTGCATGCTTCAAGATGGATTGCTCCATTCATGATTGGGAATACATTTACACAAGTCAGCACAGTGGTTTGGAAGGGGAACCCTCTCAATCCCTGTTAGATATGTAAGCTAAATGGAACCTCCTCCTTCAGGAGCAGTATACCTTTGAATATTAGTTGCTGAGGATAATTTAGAGAGAACTGTTGCCTTCATGCCCTCTTCTTGCTAGCCCTTGCTGGGTTAGATGAACATGCCATCTAGTTCAGAAAGTTTTTTCTTGAAATGTCTAGAAATATTGTCTCATTGCACATTGCTTGATGGTTATTGTAACTCCCCTTTTCTTTCCTGTCATGCAGCTTACTCCATCCCTGTTCACAAATACTGGTTCCCATTGCTCTTCATTCAGGGAATGTGCATCTGGTCTTTCCTGGAATATTTTATCCATCGCTTCATCTTCCACATGAAGCCCCCTGCTAGCAACTATTACCTTATCACCTTCCATTTTATGTTGCATGGACAGCATCATAAGGTATTTTTGGGAATGGGAGCAGGTGCTTGCCAGAAAGGCCACAGCTTTTCTTGAAACATAAAAGCTAAAAGACAGATACTGGGGAGGAAAAGACAGTTACTTAGACCTAGGCTAAATTAGTCAGTTATGTCTGTGTTGGTTTGCATTTAGATTGGTAGCTAACCAAGGTAATTGGCTAAGTCTAACAGTTGCACTGTGTTCATGCATTTATATTAGCAATTGACTAACGTAATTGGTTAGGTTAGTCAGTTGTACTATACTGGTTTGCATTTAGTTTATTTATTATTTTCTCTAGGGGAACAGAGGGGGGGGGCAAGTGCATCTGATAAAAAGTTGCCTGGAAAGATATGCTAGGAATGTGCATGTATTTAACATTTGACTGTGCATGGTTATGAGTTGGTGCAGTGAAATCCCACACAGGAATTAAATAAGTGCTTTTCTTTGTGTGAAAATAGAAAGAGTCGTTTCAGCTGTTCATAGCTAATGGTCTTTGGTTTGCTATCGTCCAATGTTGCTGCGGTGGTGTGTGTGTGTGTGTGTGTGTGTGTCGAAGTATGTGTCAAACACCGCAGATCACAGGTCTGTCTCAGTTGACAAAGTCTCCTGGGCATTCCTTCTTTAACACTTAAGCACTCCGTAAGTGGTTTACAATGTGTAAGCTAATTGCCCCCAACAAGCTGGGTATTTAAAGCGGACAAGGAAAGAACAGAGACAAGTTTCTGTATCACACACAGAGAAAAGATTGATAAAGATGTTTCAGATTACTTTTAGGGAAAACCAGGCCAGTCCAAGGCTTACGTGGGGTTACAAACAGAAGTGTGTTCCAGACAGTCCAAAATTCAAGATTCAAAAAAAGGAGAAAGCTGCTCTCAGTAGAGTCCAAAGCCAAGAGGGGAGGTACCAGACAAATTAGTCCAGAAGTATATTAGTCCAGAGGTCAGGAAGCCAGAGAGACCAGACAGGGCTTCAGAGAGATTTAAGAGCTGTTGCTCTGGAGCAATGGAATAGCCTGGGCTGAGCACATTTATGTAGCTAGCAGTTAATCAGTCCAGTTGGTCTCATTAGCTCAGTGTCCTGTATTTAAAGTGGAGCAAAGCATTGCCTGACCTTTTGCTCCCAGCACTTTAATTTATGTCACTTGAGAAGGAGAAGTACTTCTGCTGCCTTTTCCTACTACTATTGATGGACCAGTTTATGCCTCTGCCAGTGCCATGGTAAGACTGCTAGCCCCCTCTGGCTCCAACTGGGTCCCATCATCCTGCCTCTCCTCTCCCTCTTCATCATCTCAATAGGCCTCCCCACAGTAGGAGATGACATTGCCACTAACCCATCCTGCCTCTTGTGATTCTCTTTCAGTCTCCGTTTGATGACTCCCGACTGGTTTTTCCACCGGTCCCAGCATTCCTGGTCATCTCCTTTTTCTACGTTTTTGCCACGACTGTGTTCCCCGAAGCATTTGGGCTTTCCCTCTTCACAGGGGGTCTCTTTGGCTATGTTGTCTATGACATGATGCACTATTACTTACATTATGGGTCACCAAAGAAAGGCACTTACCTGTACAGACTGAAATCTTACCATGTGAAGCACCATTTTGAACATCAGAAAGCAGGTAAGGGGTGCCTGTTCAGAGATGCTGCCTTGGGAGTGCACAAGTCTCTTGTGCCAAAAACTCCCAGGGTGTTGGTGGTTTGGGTTTTATTTTTTTAGTGCAAATCAGTGTTTTGCAAAACATTCCTGAAATGCAAACAATATATGCAGAAATTTCATGGAGGTGGACCATTTTATCAGTGGGATCTCTTGTTTAGAGCAGTCATCAGATCCATTTTAGTAAAATGAAAATACCTTCCCAAAAGAAAAACGACAACAACCCAAGGTGGGTGGGATTGCAGTGAGGAATGTGGCCTTCCAAACTCAATGTACCCCCTTTCAGCTTCTTGGGAATTGCTCTCTCCTTTTGTAAACCATCACATTAAGTAATGTGGTGCTAGTAAAATGTCAATCCTCTGCATGGCAATTGTACCAGTGCCGATGGCCTCAGTATCAGTGGGATTGTGAATCGACTCTAGGTTAGACTTTCAGATAATTATCAGAGGTGCTGAACTGAACCTTCACAAAGTTTCAGCACCTTGGACAGCTCCTTTAATTCCACCTGAAACATGGAATGGATCTACCATTCCTTTAACACAGGAGTCACCATCTACCACTGAGCCATGGCATCCCCAAGAAATGTCTAAAAATGCAGGCAGCTCTGTTGGTCTATGTAATTGCTTTAAAAGAAAATATCTTAACAGTTTTACTCTCCACCAGTAGCATGCCTTTTGAAAAACGAATGGCTCTTGCCTACTCAAGACTAAGGTCTAATCTGCACTGCAGGAATAATTCAGTTTGGCAGTGCTTTAACTGCCAGGAGTTTTGTGAGACATTGAGCTTTCTCTGTCCAGAGAGCGCTGGTGCCACAACAAACTACAAATCCCAGGATTCCATAGCATTCAGTCATGCTATGTTACAGCAGTGTCAAACTGTACAGAGCCAGTTAAAGCAGTGCATTATTTCTGAAATGCAAATTAGACCTAAGCCACCCCCAAATAATTAGGATTGCTCATGAGCTTTTCCCATTGCTGGGAAATCCATTTTCCCCTACACTCAGCTAAACTCAGGGGGAACAAAAGAATCTAGTTGGTGGGTGGGTTGGTAGATGATGTCCTCGTCCTTGCTTATCAAAAAGTCCTAGGGCTGTGACCCTGCAGGCTTTTATTCTTCTATATCAAGGGTAACATGCTCCTCATTTGAAATTAATGCATTACTTGCTGATGGAAGGCCCAATAACATCCAAAATCCAAACACAGTGATACCTTTACTGGGCCAACCAACATGCACAAAATGCATGATGCAAGCTTTCGAAGCTCCATTGGCTTCTTCATGAGTCAAAGGTGTTTAAAAAAATCATACAGGAGAAAGAAACATATGAAAAAAAAAAGAAAGAAAGAACATTCTCTTGTATGATTTTTAACATCTTTGCCTGATGAAGAAGCCAATGGAGCTTTGAAAGCTTGCATCATGCATTTTCTACATGTTGGTTGGCCCAATAAAGATTATGCTATTTTGAGGATTTGGGAAGTTATTGTACTTGGCTGTATGGCCAACATGGCTACTCCTGGGATATGTTTGGTGGAAGGCCCATGAGCCCTGACCTACTTTTGTCTCATTCTCTCTCTCTCCCCTTTCCCCTTTTCTTTTTCAGGCTTTGGCATCACCAGCACGTTTTGGGACCATCCCTTTCAGACCCTCATCCCCAAGGAAACCTTTGAGAAAGAAGACTAGCCCCTGCCTTGCCCCTGCCTTGGCCACTCATTGGACTTTGGTTGCCGCTGCTCTCCAAAGTGGGATTTTGCCAAATTGTGCCAGGGTGGGGGACTTGGAAGGGACCCCTACGACCGGGAGAAAGGGCCCATGTTTTGTCCTGCTTCCTTGGCCAGCCAAGTTACTTTGTGCAGGTCCTCTGGACTCTGGACCTGGGACAGAGGAGCACTGGTGGGGTTGACTTGATGGGTTTCATGGCCAGGATGTGACAGAAGGATCCAGCTTTGCCCTGCTGAGCTGTGGGCTATATATCGAAGCACACAAAGAGCCAAGCATTATCAATCTGATTTTCATGCATGTAAGGGTTTTGCTTTTGACCGTGTGTAATGTCAGTCTCTGTGGAGGACC